TTCGGATCCCACATACAGACCGGTTCCCACTCACTGGCTGAGCGAGGTGTGGGAGCAATACCGAGGGTTGCGATCCTGTTGCCGGTCCTGGTCCGGTACGGGCGCGACACTGAGGGTTGCAATCCATTGCCGGACATGAAAAAAGACAAAAAGGAAAAAAACAAAACAAAACAAAACAAAACATTTGTGGAAAACTAGAATTAAAAGATAATACAAATCTGGGCCGGCCCAGTGGCACACTGCTACAGTGCGCCGCTTGGGAGTGCAGTGGCGCTCCCGCTGAGGGTTCGGATCCCACATACAGACCGGTTCCCTCTCACTGGCTGAGCGAAGTGCAGGCGCGACACCGAGGGTTGCGATCCCATTGCCGGTCCCGGTCCGGTACAGGCGCGACACTGAAGGTTGCGATCCGTTGCCGGACACGAAAAAAGACAAAAAGGAAAAAAAAAAAAAGATAATACAAACCTGATTTGGCTGGTGAACTCACCTGGTTAGAATGTGGTACTGATAAAACCAAGGTCAAGGGTTCAGATCCCCTTACCAACCAGTCGCTACAACCCCCCAAAAAAGATAATATAAATTTTTTCATGAACTTTCTGAAGTGATGTTTGAACATAGTATTTTGACTGTATATGCTCTGACAAAAAGAACTATAAACAATATTTAACTCCTGTTAATAGGTTTATTTTTCACAGAGGTATGGTCAGAAATTCTGAAATTTTTTGTATATTCTAGAATTAAGTAAATAAATGAATATAGTGAGGATAGTGGGAGTCAGGTCTCTCACAATCAGAAGCGAATCAAATATGAAAAGGGAGAAGACTAGAATAAACACTGTAGAGCTGGACTGATATTAGAGATATTACCATGAACTCATAGTTTAAATACAAATAGATATACAGATATAGAAATAGATATGGGCATAGATATAAATCCTGTCTTCTTGAAGGGCTTAAAAGTAATGATACTCCAGTAACAATGAGCACCTCTAGAGCGTAGAACTTGGTTTCTATATACATTCACCACTTCATTCCTGCGTTTCAGCACCAAAACAAAACCAAAACCAAAAAATCCCATAAATACATTCTCCACTAAAGCACTAAAGTGAGTCAGGACTCCTTGAAGAAATTGCTGATTTCAAGGCTGGGTCAGAAAAATTACAAGTTCAGCCTGGAACAACTTGTTATGCCAAGATATAAAGAAGTGTTGAAAGAATAATGTGGACATGTCAATAGGACACAGGAGACAGCTTAAAGGGACCCTCACTATCCAAATCTGGAACAATCTGCCCATCAAAATAAATAATTATAATAATGGATTACAAGCCACTAAATAAAACAGGAATCCAAACTGATGTAAATAAATGAATGATTAAATAGGGAAGAAGGAAGAGAGCTATTCCTTTATTAGAACGCCAACTAATAAATGTAAAAGGGATGATAGATTTTTTTAAAATTACTATTTGAGAAACACAAAATTAACAGATTCACGCAAGAATCATCAACTGATGCTAAAATTAATGGGTAAAAGTCTAACAAATAACAGGATATTTGTATAATATTAAAGTACCTATTCACAAAATACTTATTACAAAGGTTAAAAAAACAGTAACTTTACAGTGGAAAACCTGGCAGATACCATGTTAATCCTCATGATCAAAGCAGTGTGCTAGAGTACATTCATTTCAACTCAGGAGATGAACATTTCCCAATTTAGTGTTCAGTGATGACAGACACTAGCTTGAAATTGGCCATGGTGGGAGTTTTTGCACCATGGAAATTGACAAAAGCTACATACAAATCAGGGCTGTTTTTTCTGTCTGGAGAGCCAGTCGTTAAAAATTTATCATCACAACACTGGATCAAAGTTATAACCACCAGATAATTCGACCTTATGATAATACACATCAAGAAGAACACAGCACCACTTTTGTGGTATTCTGCATAAAACATATAGCCTCAATCTAACGAGAAAACATCAGGGAAAAAATAATAAATTGAGAGACATCCTATAAAAATAACTGGCCTGCATTGGCAAAATATCAGGGTCATGAACGACAAAGATGATTAAGGAGATGTTTCAGACTAAAGGAGACTGTAGAGACAAAACATGACAACTACATGAAATATATGATACTGATTGGGTCCTAGACCAGAAAAAAAAATTTTTTTTCTTTGTTTTTAAGTATATTATTGGGACAACTGGTGAAATGTTAGTAAAACCTTTAGATTGGAAAATAGTATTATAGCAATGCTAATCCCCTTATTTTGACCATTGTACTCTGGTTATGTAACAGAATACCCCAATGCATACAAAAGTATATAGAGGTAAAGTCAGAGCACATCGGTCTGCAACTTACTCTCAGATAGTTGGGAAGGAGGAAAAGAACGAAGGAATGGAGGGAAGGAACGAAAAGAAGATGGGAGAGAGCAGTTAACAAAGGGAATCTGGGTACCGGACATATAGCTCTTTGAACTATTCTGGAAACATCTGTAGGTTTGAAATTATTTAAAAAATAATAGTTGTAAAGAAAAAAAACGTGAACGCTACCTGGTTCTCTGCCCTCATCCTGAGGCCTATCCGGGTGCAGTCGAAGGGAGACGGTGAACAAGGACTTCTACGAGGCCAGAGCACAACCAATGGCCACAAACCCTCCCCAGAGCCTGGGGGCACTGCGGTATTGTGCGCAGGCGCACGCGGAGCAGTCTCCCGCAGGCGCCTTCCCGCGCAGTCCCGCCCTGCCCTTGGATTGGCTTTGGGTGCAGTGACGTCACGCTCTTGTGCACATGGCGCGTGTGCTGCTTGTAGCTCTGCCACAGCGGAGGTGTGAGGGCCTCACGGCCAAGTATCCAGGGGCGGGCTCTTGGTTCCTCAGCCTAGAATCCCAACTGTGGTGCGCGCGCCTCTGGCGGGCACACATTCTTAAAGGACGATGAGAATCTTGGCCTCAGATGGCTATATCCTGCCCACCTGACGCCCATGCTCCGGATTGTGACCCTGCGCACTCTTTCCTCTCAATTTTAGGCCCAAGAGTCAGGTAGCAAGACTCACATCCACAGAGGGAAGCAGAAGCTCGTTTTCTTCAGAAACCTTCATGTTTTCTCTCTCTGTATTTTTTTTTTTGGGGGGGGGGGGCCTGCCTTTTTTTTTTTTATTCAGATCAGATCAATGTAATGGACTAATGTGATGTCCTTAGGAATGAAGAGATTATCAACGTCCCTGTAGACTAAATTATGGCAGAGGGCTGGAGAGTTCACACAGTCCTGAGATTGGACAGTGAAAGTGTACTTGTACTGCAGTCCCTGCCAGGGGAAAGTAAATTGCTTCTGATTGTCTTTACTAAAAGGTATATAGAAAAAAGCAGTCAACCAGATTAATAGCTACATACCAAATATCGTATAACTTCGTATAATGTATGCTATACGAAGTTATTACGGCCTTTATATTTTCTTAATGCTGCCGTGGAAAGCCTAAAGTTTGTGGCCCAGGAGCTGCCGCCACTGAGTTTCTAGCCGGGATAGTGGAATCCTTGACCAGTACCAGCGCTCCACTCCCCGCAGGGCCTTCTCATTGTCAATTAGTTGGAAATTGCACATAAATGTGTCACAGCCTTACAACAGCTGTTCAGATCTACTGGCCTCTTGCTGAAGGAACACCAGCAGACAGACAGCAGGTTGTGGGGACGCCAAAGGTAATGTGTTTCTGAATGACTATCACATTTATGCACCTTCTGTAGAACTGGAGTGACCATTCTCCCATTACCTGTAAATCTGGAGTTATTTTTGCCTATGTTGGTACTGCCGTCATTCTTTAAAATAATACTTTATCAAGGAAACTCTGTATTATTATTGTTTGTGGAAGAAATCCTGAGGTTGCCGGTGATCTCAGATGCTAAGCAGTGAAAAGAGACTAACAGAATTATAATCCGTATTAATTTTTACTCAATTTATGAAATCTGATTATCATTTCCTCTCTATATTTTTCTCTTATCTCTTTCCTCTCCTCTCCCCGCCCCCTGCTCCAGAAAGGATTCTGTAGTGAAAAGTGTGAAGGAAAGGAATGACAATTGTTTATTTCAATCGAGCAGACAGGCATATCCAGCAAATGAAAACAAAAGAATATATAATCAAGACTGTGTTGGGAGAGGGCAAATGGATTCTTTTTAATAGGTCACAGCAACTACTTTTATTTATCTCCTGTTGTTACTAGAGAGAAAAATGTCTTCTGATAACCAGTGGTCAGCATATGAGGATGAAAACCAATTATCCCGACTGATGAAGAAATCTAGAGACTCCCCTTTTGTTCCTGTAGGTAAGTACAAGCCTTGACTGGATACTAGAAAACTAATAATACAGTAATGCCTTACTTAGTATCTTTAAGGATTGAGATGTTTCATATAGTTTTTTTCCAGATAATTTAAGCTAACCCCCTTTAAACATGAATATAAGTTGAACTTTCAAAATAGTTTCTAGTACATAAGTCTCCAATAAATGTTAGCTATTATTATTTGAAGCATCACATTTTATTCTATTTTATCCATTCGTTAGAGGTCTATCTAAAATTATTAGTTTGCAGCCAATCAAAGGAATTGATTGAATGGACTTTTAACTTTTTGGTAATGACTGAGGATTGTCACAGCAGCATCACTTTATTATACTGAAAATGTGTCATAGACTATTGAGATGTATATGACTCTTTGTCCTGTAAGTATCTGCAGCCTTTAAGTTTTTATGTCTGTTGTTCTGTTTCTTCCAATACTACTTGGGTATCATTAAAAACTTCTGCTTCTAAAGTTCTGTGGCACCAGAAGCCACCACTTAGATACCCAAGCTTGAAAGAACTATGAGTCAATTCAGAGTAAAGCTCTGAATGGAAGTCTTGGAAATCGGCCCACCTTTACACTTGAGAGCATGAACTTTGAGGAGTTCGTTTTGGCTGCTCAATGGCCCTTTTTGCTGGTTTCCTAGTGTGTTCCAGATGTCAAGGTTGGTGGTTAAGTAAACTCTGGATTAAAGAAATGGTGTTATAATTAGATCTGGAGTCTTAACCTCTTTAACTTTTCCCCACACATATTTAGTATGTTTACTAACAACAACTATATGTATGTGGACCTTAAAAACACACGCACACACACACACAATTTAAGCACCAATATTATGTTTTAAAATCTGAAGTTTCTTTCTTCTCCCTGGATGCTGAAGCTGCACTAAGAATTATTATTATATACTGCAGTCATGCCTCTTTCCTTGTGTTCCTTTTTCTGAAAACTATTACAATAATTTACTTAAATCAGACTTACATAAACTTGTGAATATATTATTTCCATAAAACTTTCTAAATAGGTATGTTGTGTTTCCTTTAAGTGTCACTGTGACTCTAGCAAGTTCCTAAGTGTCATTCCCATACCAAAAAGAACTAAATTTTACTTTACAGTAATATTCTGTGTCTAGAAGTTTCATTTAATTTGATTAGACTTGTAATAGCACCCATAATAAACGGAAGCAGATAATAGTGATTTATCTTCCTTAGCATTTTTAACTAGAAAAAAATTCAAGAACTCGACACTCCTTGAACAAATAGATCACAATAATGAACAGAGATTAGTCACTGTGCCTGTTGTATATTAAATTAGTTTTCCAGAGACATTTAGGGTGACTGAAGTAGAAAGATAAAAGTGTTTCCAGCTTAATTCAATTAAATACAAGCTACAAAGATATTACACTGAAAACAGTAAATGTTCTAGCTTTAATCTCTAAAAGAAACAAAATCAATTTGAGTAAGAAAAGAACCTTGATTTGATCAAGGAAAGAGAGCCAAATTTTTGCTAGAAAATAATGATAAAATTTGGGTATATAAAGCTATTGTTATTTTAACAATATCTACCATGTGTTTCCTGCTACAGGATGGAGTGTCCTGTGTAGATAATTTACATAACATTTTTATTGGTTATTTTAAACATCCATTATTATAAATATAATAAATTCATATCGTTCAAAATCATCTTATGATCACCATCACTGTTAAGGTCTGTGCATGCATTATATGTATTAAAATCTGTCTTGACAGATTATTTAGTTTGCTTCTTTCGTTTAACATTTCATGTGTATATTTTTGTGTAACAATACTTCCTATTCTTATCATTTTCTTTTTAATAGCTCTAGCGGTTTTCTTTTGTTGGGCCATTTGGGTTGTTTAGTTTTTCTTCATACATAGTGTAGCCATGAACATCTTTATGTTATTTTCTTGACTTTTCTTATTCTTATTTCCTTGGAGTATGTTCTCAAAAGTAGAATTTCCAGAGAAGGAAGCAGGTTCGATTTAATATTATTTATTATATATTTCCAGAGTTTTGTTGTTGTTGTTGTGAGCATATTCATTATTATAAATTGTAATTATTCTTTACATCCCCTTACCTGACCAATCACTCCCCAACCCCGTTCCCCCTCCCCATTTCTAGAGTTTTTCCCAGAAAGATTTGCAGTGATTTACCTGACCAATCACTCCCCAACCCCGTTCCCCCTCCCCATTTCTAGAGTTTTTCCCAGAAAGATTTGGCCAGGCTTACAGAGCCTTCAGAATTATACCTGTCTCCCCATGTGTTTATCATCATCATTTTATAGTTATTTGTTTTTTGCTGTTTTTATGTTTGTAGTATATCAGTCATTTTTATTTCAATTTCATTTATAGCTAATCAACATTTAAAATAACATATAAATGTGATTCTTTACTGATTCTTATTTACACTTATTAAATGGATTCTGAAAGAATAAATATGTCCTTGCCCACCCATAGAGATGCCTATGTGCCAACACAGTTAATCAAAACTTGCTATCCCACATAAAAATCAGTTGCATTTCCATAAACTAACAACAAACATAGGGAAACTGAAATTAAAAACATAATACCAGTGTGGTGTTGTAACATGAAGGTCAAAGGTTCAGATCCCTGTACTTGCCAGCCACCAAGAAAAGACAAAAAACAAAAACAAAAAACAACGTAATACCATTTACAGTCACCCCAAAGAAAACAAAATGCTTAGGTATAAATTTTTTTTTTTTTAAAGATGACCAGTACGGGGATCTTAACCCTTGACTTGGTGTTGTCAGCACCACGCTCTCTCATGTGAGTGAACCAGCCATCCCTATATAGGGATCCCTACCAGTGGCCTTGGTGTTATCAGCACCACATTCTCCCAAGTGAGCCATGGGCCGGCCCTTAAATTTAATAAAACATATATGCTGAAAATTACAAAATGCTAATTAAAGAAATCAAGGAAGACCTAAATAAATGAAGAGATTATAGAGTTTATGGATTAGAAGTCTCAGTATAAAAATGTCAGTTCTCCTCAAATTGATCTGTAGATTTAATGTAATTCCTATCAAAAGCCCAGCAAGGTTTTTTGTAGACATAGACAAGCTTATTCTAAAATTTATATGGAAAGACACAGACCTAGTATAGCTTAAAACAATGTTTTTTTTTTTTTCAAGGGATAAAGTGGAAGGAATCACTCTTCCTGAAATTAAGGCTTACTGTATATCTACAATCAAGACAGTGTGATATTGATGGAGGGGCAGATGCATAGATCAATGGGACAGAATAGAGAACCCCAAAAATAGACCCACATTTTTATTGTGCAAAAGTTTTCTTTATTCTGCCAAAATATATCCTTGTCATTTTCCTTGAAATTTTCATTGTCTACCTTGTCCTCTTATAGATGTTATATTTTCTTCTAGTTTTTTGTTGTTTATATATTTTTTTGTTTTGCATTTAATTCTAACCCATCTGGACTTTTATTTTTGCAGGGTCTGGTGTGAGATACAAATCTTAGTTCTTCTCTATACCAATAGATTGTGCAAATGGCATTTATTAAATAATTATTCCTTTATCTGTTATTTGGTTATTTTTGGCTTGTCATGGATTAAGTTCTCATAGTATTTTAAACCTCTTTCTAGAATCTTTCCTGTTGATCAGTTCTCAGCCAATTACATAGGATCTTGGTTGTCACAGCAGTATACCCCTTGACATTTGCAGGAAAATAGAAATACTTTTATGGGCTTCTGGACTTTTCTAGAATGACAGTTCTTCCCAGAGTCATATACTTCTTTGGCATATATTCATACCTTTTCAGCTCTCATTAAAGTTTATTGTCTCACTTTTTACAGAACAAAGTTTTTTATCATTTCACTAGTATTTGATGACAGGAAGAGAGGAGTAAAGCCACACACTCAAAAGCTATAGATGCTGGGATATTGAGTTGGTTCACTCACTGGCTGAGTAACTTGCTCCAATAATAGCCTTGTTAGCATGCACAATCAAAATCATGCCTCAGGAAAATTACAGATAACTAGACAAGTTATTATACTATACAGTTCAGGTTTTTCTGGGAAGAGTCAAAACTGCAAATATTGAATCTAATAATGTTAGTGGCCCATTTTAAAATCTGGTAGATCAAATCCAGCATGGTTCCTTTTTAAAATATTCTTTGTTTCTTCACTGATTATCTTCCAGGTACTTGTCCTTTACATAGTCTTTCATTTAACTTTCTAAGCTCTTGGGAAGTCTTGCCTGCTGTTTAATCCATACTTTTTAAATTTGCAGGTATAGCAGGCTTTATGACTGTGGTGTCCTATGGCCTTTACAAGTTAAAGTACAGGAGAGATCAGAAAATGTCCATTCATCTTATTCACGTAAGAGTTGCTGCCCAAGGATTTGTTGTAGGAGCTGTGACTTTAGGTAACCTGCTTAATTTATATCCTATGTTTAGCTGTCTTTGAGAATATTTTTATTTATTTTATTCATTCATAGCAGAAGTGAATATTGGGTCAAGATGATATAATGGGGGAGAGAGGTAAGAAGGACTGATCTTCATTTGATTGAAGATGCTGCCCAGTTATGGGCTTAATTTCTTATGATTTTTGGCTGACAAAACCCCCAGCAGAGAACTAGGGTGACTGGTAGTTATTCTCCAGAGTGAAAGGAGCAGTGAGGGCCGGCCCTGTGGCTCACTCGGGAGAGTGCGGTGCTGATAACACCAAGGCCAAGGGTTTGGATCCCACACAGGGATGGCCGGTTGGCTCACTGGGTGAGCATGATGCTGACAACACCAAGCCAAGGGTTGAGATCCCCTTACTGGTCATCTTTTAAAAAAAAAAAAAAAAAGAAAGGAGCAGTGAGTAGTTCTATGCTATATAACTCAGCTAAGAGTAGCAGTTATTGATCACAGCATATATTGCATGGCTAGGAGAAGTGGACATATTTCCCAGCCTATTTGAACAGCAGATGTGGTTATTAAAATAGTTTAACTGGAAAGAAGACATTATTAGAGCCCACAAATCTCAACAGCCTTGTTCTCCTTTTGTTCCAAGTTTGAACACTGGGCAAGTCTTTTTCTTTTTTTATTAATCCACAATTAAGCAAGACCTACACACTCAAATCCAAAAGAACAGGTATAAAATTATCTTGGTTAATTCAGGTTACATCAACAGCTAAATCAGATATTTCTAATAAGAAGTCTATTATGAGACCTAAATTATCTAAATATTTTTTGTCTATATTAATGGGAAGAAGTCACATGTTCTAAGCTCCCCTTTATGCTGTGCAGAGTAGAGTCACCCTAAGAGTAGGTCAAGGATTATGGAATGATGGATGAGGGGCTTGCATATAGGAAGTTAAGAGGTAATTAATTATCTTATTACTATGAGCCGTGATATGCGAGTCTTAAACCAAATACAACAAGAACCTTTACTACACAGTTACAGTCCTCATTTTCATAATTCAGCAAATATTTATTGAACATCTGCTATGTGCAGATGAGACTCAGTAACTACCCTCAAATAGTTTAGTATCCTTAGGAAGAGAGACAAAGAAGAGAAGACCATTATATGGTCTCTATAAGTCATAGATGCTGTAACTAACAAAAACAGCACAGGTTGCTATGGAAACACAAGCACAAAGAAGGGGTATTTAATTATGACTGAGAGGTCAAGGGGGATTCTCAAGGATGTAAACCATGTGATGAGCCAAGAATATGGAGGAAGTAAATAGGCAGAGAAGGAGATCAGGATTCTAGGCAGAAAAAAACCAAAGACACAGAAGCATGGCATGTTAGTGGAACTCTTGGTATAGTAGGTGAATCAATCAGTGTTTGATGAGAGAAGCAGAATTAATAGTAATTTTTTTTTTCCTTTTTGTCTTTTTTCGTGTCCGGCAACAGGATCGCAACCCTTGGTGTTGCGCCCGCACCTCGCTCAGCCAGTGAGCGGGAACCGGTCTGTATGTGGGATCCAAACCCTCAGCGGGAGCGCCGCTGCGCTCCCAAGCGGCGCACTGTAGCAGTGCGCCACCGGGCCGGCCCCAATAGTAATATTTAATAAAGGATTTATTATAAGTATTTGGACTTATATAATTATGAGGCTCTTGTTTACATATCTGGAGCTGGGGCCTAAAGTGGATAGGGCAAGCAGTTAGGAAGAAAAAATTGATGTAAAGTGGGAGAAGCAAAGAACACCTGGAACCTACAAGGATGAGGTAGAACACACAGGACACACTGGAACCCCTGTAGGTTTTCAACCATTTCCAAGCCTCCAAATTTGATGATGAGAGTGACATATAGGAATATGCCCTTCATCCTGGAGCTAAACATGGGCCTACCCAATGAGTCAGAGAAGATGAAGGAGAAAATTCAGCAGTAGCCATAGTAGTTATGTTCATGATTGCTGCCCCATGCCAAAAAGGTGGGCCAGCAGATGAGCAAAACTGTGCTCCAACAGTGCCTTCCAAGCATAAGAAGAATGTGGCTGCCACTTCTGCCTTCTAAATCTCACGCAAAATGTCTCTTGTGCACTAACCCAGGGAATAAAGAGAAAGGAATTCTGGAAAATGTAGTTAAAGGTTAGCTCAGCTGACACAATACAAATCCACCATTCTCCAATCCTTGTCAACTTGGCATTCACATATACACCTCTTTTAATCACACTTCCAAATAAAGACAGTGGCAGACTCAGCCATCCCTTGTATCACCAAAAACATGCTAATTCTCTCACAAAAGAGGATACAAAATCCCTTTATCAACCTTTGATATTGATTCCTTTGAGCTGAATCATTCCCTTTTGATATCCTGTAACTTAAATCCTGAGATATAAGGTTAACTACTATTAACATTTCTTATGTTAGATGTTAACTACTGTTAACATTTCTTATGTTAGGTAAATGAAAGTGGGGAATAGAAAAAAAATCAATATATACACAAATGGATTCATATAAAAATAAGGAAATATATTCATAACTACCACAGTCTTTATTTTTGCAACTGGTCAGATGGTCATATCTGGTATTATAACTATGTTCTTCTACTATCTGTTACATATTCCCTTTGCCTTTGGCATGCACCTTAGCTGTTCATGGTTATTTGACTGGTGAGGTGACCCAAACCTTTATTCATAAAGGGTCTGAGTCATTAGCCATATGCCTGTATTGGGTATAGTTTTCCTTTGTTTTTAATAACAGGACATGGGAGTACAAAGAAGTGCCCTGGACCCTGCATTGACATCATTCACTTCCATTTCCCCTTGCTATTCAGATCAGATCAATGTAATGGACTAATGTGATGTCCTTAGGAATGAAGAGATTATCAACGTCCCTGTAGACTAAATTATGGCAGAGGGCTGGAGAGTTCACACAGTCCTGAGATTGGACAGTGAAAGTGTACTTGTACTGCAGTCCCTGCCAGGGGAAAGTAAATTGCTTCTGATTGTCTTTACTAAAAGGTATATAGAAAAAAGCAGTCAACCAGATTAATAGCTACATACCAAATACCAAAGGTTGTGTTGATTTGTTTTAGCAATGATACCACACCTGGATAGCAGCTGCAGTTAGGGTGATCACCTGATTAAGTTTACAGGAATCAGTATCATTCTCCAAAATCCATCTGTCTTCTGCTAAATAAGCAAACTGAATGGGGATGTGTTAGAAATCACCACTCTGGCATGCTCATCTCTATAATCCCTCTGGGAATACAGTAATGCTTTGGTTTACTATTTTGATAAAGGCAATTGGCTCCCCTTGACTTTTCCTACCATAATAGCCCTTACTTCACAGGTCAGGGAACCAGTGTGAGAATTCTGACAGTTGCTGAGTATGTCTATTACAATTACACATTCCAGAACTAGGGAATAACATAGGATGGGTTCAGGGACTCACCAGGCTGAGTATGACATGAGCCCACAGCAAAATTCCATTGACCGCCTGACCTCCATAAACCCCTACTTTCACTGGTAGGCCACACTAATTGTACCAAAGTAGGAATTAGTGTTAATTCACAACCACCATTCAAAAATGCCCCATAATCCCTTCCTTGGTACACAGGTACCCCAGTAAATGACCACAGGTCCCTTTGGGGAAGTCTAGAAGGAGGATTTACAGTTTGTCTGTTTTTGGTTTTGTAACAGGGTCTTTCCTTAAGGGGATCTGGCCTTCCTCTCACTCAAAGGACTTTGGGTCTGTGAACTAACTCAAATCTAGAAACTGGTCAAGGGGCCATGGCTCTCTATTGTGGTGATACAAGTCAGACTTTGGTTCACCAAGCCTAGAGCTTTTCTGCTTATATGCTGCCCACCATTTTCTTTCTTTTTTCTTTTTTGGCAGTTGGCCATTAAGGGTATCCAAACTCTTGACCTCAGTGTTACCAGTACCAGTTGTAACTAAATGAGCTAACTGGCCAGCCCCTGCCCATCACTTCCAATTCTAGGGACAGCATAATCAGACAGTGCCAAAGATCTCTGAAATTTAGACTATTCTGACTACTGCTTAGGCTCTGCTGCCCGTTACAGAAATGATGCTTTCCTTGTCTTTGTCAATTAAATGCTGTCACTTGACCCCCTAACCCCAGGATCGCATTATCCCCATTTAATTCAGGGCGCCCAGCAGTTCACACTGTCATTTCTGGCTTACAGATGATAGTCACCACAGAACTCTTGAAGGATGCCAGGATTACCTTCACAAATGTATCTCTCACAACCTTGGTGAAGGGAATAGATATATTTAGGGAGTAGGTAAGGAGAATATATTCACTCTAACATTCCAATAGCCCTAATCCTTTGGATATCTCTCTATAGCAGAGTTTCTCAACCTCAGCACTATCGACATTTTGGGCTGTTGTGGAGGGCTGTCCTATGCATTGCAGGATGTTTACCAGCATCCCTGGTCTCTACCCACAAGATGCTAGTAGAATTCCCTTCCATCTCTCCACTTCTAGTTGTGACAACTCAAAATGTCTCCAGACATTACCAGGTTTCCCTGGGGAATAAAACCACCCCTAGTTGAGAACCACTGCTCTACCAAGGAAGTTCTGGCATTTCAATGTCATTTACTGGAGATTACCTTCTAGTACAAGTTTCAGTCATTATCAGACAGGGATGGAAGGACTTCTACTAGAAAAGGAGTTTCAGTAAAATATAGGGGCTCAAGGACCCATTTTTTTAAAAATCTGCCTCTATGTCTATTCCAATTTTCAGGATCCTACTCCTTTCAAAGCAATGCCCTAATTTTAACATAAGAGACTTTGAAGTTGGGAACTTGTGTGGTAATTAGCCCCTTAGATTAGACCCTGTGTGTAGCCTCATGGCTACAGGAGTTAAAAGTTTCTTTTTGGAAAGTCATAAAGCTTTCAGGTCCCTCATGGGAACTTGAGCTAGGAATTAAAAGCTCCGAGCCCATCATTTTCTTGATTAGACCCT